TATGTAAAATAAAAAAAAGTATTGTGAAGTTTTACGTGGGTTTTTATGTAGATCACATATTCGATTCTTATCAGTTTCTACAATAACAACCGTGCTATCCAGCGTCGTCAAATTGAACTAACATCTTTGTAAATATTTGTCAATTTTTACTCGTTAATCCGTTACTTCAATTTGGCTTTCGATTACAGCGGACGGGTCGAGTAGTGAAATGGAGCTTCCGCCGCAGCTGGTCACGGCGGCTATCCAGCGAGCGACAGCGGATTCTTCGGGATCCGAAAACGAATGTTCCAACTCTGGCGTAGTGAGTCAGACTACAACACACTACGCGTCCAGTTTACTACAGCAATTCGTCGCACAAACGCAACTTCTAAGCAGCACTGCGTCATTAAATTCTATTAACACGACTTCAACATCGTCGCTAACATGTGGGCTTAGCTCGAGTCCTATGGAAAGCGTTAATACTATAGGTGACTGCGTTTTGGGGCAGATAAATAGTTTGCCTGAAATGACATCAATAGGTTCAAATTATTTAAACGGCAATTCTCAACATCTCAGTCCTCAACAGACAGAAGAATTAAGTCAAATCAATAAAGATCTGGAGGAAATCAGTTCAGTTACAGAATCTGTAAGTTTGTCTATACCCAATCCGCCAAGTCTCGAAGACTGCGTCGACAACAATGATTTTATGAATATAGATATAACACCGGGTGGATCAGAATTAGGAAATGCAAGTGATTTATTAAAAACGTCGCCAATAACAATTCTAAACTCTGATTTGAACCAATTAGACCCACAAAAATTAGATACTATCAGTACAAACTCTGTAGAATCTCAAGAAGATGTTAAGAATGTTATCGTCGAGTCTAGGCGAAAAAGGGGACGGCCCCGTAAAGTAAGAAAAATAAATGAATATGAAATTAAAATTATTGAATCTCACAAAGAAGATAAGCCATCAGTAAAGGTTAATGATTTCCGTAACAATAACGACCCACCGAACGTCTCTCCAGATTCAGGCATATTATCAAATCATAACTCGCCAACACATTCACCGTTGCGTCGTCATGACCTAGATGAAGGTCATGGTCGCTTAAGTAGAAAGTCTATACAAAAAGAAAACAATAAGGTTGAGAGAAGAAATATGAGGTCGAAATCAAAAACAAGAAGTAGGGCACATAATTTGTCCGATTCGAGTGACTGTGATTTTCACAAAAAGAGAGCCGAGAACGAGTTAAAACAAATAAAAACCGAAGCCCCATCACCAATACCGTTGAAGCAAGAAACGAACAAATTTGATAAGAATAAGAAACCTGACCATAAATTAGACATTGCAGCTTTAGATAGAATGTTGTATGCTACGGATAGAGTACTTTACCCACCTAGAAAGAAAACTGGTCGTAAACCGCAAAATAAAGCCAAGGTAACTAAAAACTCTCCAAAAACTTTGAAGGATAAAAACCAATATGACTCGGCAGACAGTGATGAAGACTCATTACCCTCTAGCAGGTCTGTGTTGTCTGGAGTGTATGCTAAGAGAAAAGAAGTAAATAGTAAATTATGCACTGTAACTAAGAAGAGCAGTAAACCTGCTACAAACACATGGCGGGACCACCAGAGTGAAAACGAAGCGGCGGGTGAAGATCCGCTAGACCCAACATGGAAACAAATAGATCTGAATCCTAAATATAAAGATATCCTTTCCGGTTACAAAAGCGACCACGAATTTAAACCATATAAAAGCTGCAGTAGGCTTATAGAATCTGGCTACAAGAGCGATTATGGCTGTAGATCCGGATATAAAAGTGATTGCTACCGGTCCGGTTATAAAAGCGATCATAGATCAGGTTACAAAAGTGACAAGTCAGGTTACAAAACAGATTACAGTGTTAGAAGTATGCGTAGAAGAATGAGAAAGTTGAAGAAGACAAGATCGGTCCGAGACAGATCGTACTACAAAAATCAAAAACATTTTGTTTCTGATCAAGAAATTTTGTTATTGACGAACAAAACTTTTAGCAGTCTCACTCTCGGTCACAGTTCAAGTGATTCTGAGTGTGATAGTTACATACGCAAACCAAATGCAAGTCCAAAATATGTAAGCGTCTGTACTAAATATCCCTTGCTATCAAAATATTCATTTGGATTTACTAAAAGTCAAAAGCATATTTTACGGCATAATTCCTCTGATCCATTCGCGCCGGGTCCTGTTTTCAGCGGCTTACAAAGGCCTGTCACAACTTGCAACATATTCAAAGTCAGCCATAACAATAACAACACTTTACTGAAATCACCTAATAAAGCTACATGTGCCGGAAATTCACTGCCAACTCTTAAGCCAGTATTTACACATAAGTTTGGTACCTCGCCACTGAATACATTGAATAAAACTGCCTCTAAAAAAGATTTTGAAGCTATGAAACATATTTCAAATACGCTTTCACCAAAAAGTCGTAAGCATAATAAATCAGGCAGTATGCTATATCCGCTACATACAAAAAAGGATATTACACTTAAACCCCTTCCAAGTATATTTGAAAAAGCAAAGAACAGTTATGTGCCCAATAAATCTTTATCCAGAAATGTGTTTTTAAATTTGAAGAAACCTCACTTGAAGCCCGCTTTTCAAATAAAAAAACACAGAAGAACAGTTGTCCTTGCACCTCCAAAAATTAATTTGAAACCTACTGAACGACCTTCTCGAGTTGCAATAAAAACTGAGAACAGGCATCATCGGCACAGAAGTAAGAGACGACATCGCTCAAGATCAGTGTCGAGGTCTCGGGACTCTTGCTCTAATAAAAATGTTGATTCGGTTGATCAAAAATTTAGTCAAGATATGGATATGCTAATATCTAATTTTATAAAATTATGCCAAATTGCGCCAAAATTAATAACCAATATTACACAAAGTCAACCAAAATGCACGGAGAAACCGTTGCCTGAACCTGTACCGACAAAAGTTATGAAGAGAGCGTCAAAGAAGCGTAAGACGTCGGATAATCAAGAAATAATTATTCCTACTTCAAAAAGGAGGCACAAAAAACAATTAACGGAATCTCAAAATAAGGGAGGAAAAGACACCAATGAACACAAGCTCCCTCTGAAAAAACGACATTACCATATTAATTCATCCACAAATAACACACTTAGCTTGAGTTTAGTTTCTTCTGAATTTGACGATAGTTCAAAAAATGGGATAAATACAGAGCAATTTCTTTGTACTGAAACAGACTGTTTAGGTGAAATACAAAATAATGTTCCTGCTGAATCGCCCAAAACAAAATCTAATACCGAAAAAGGGAAAAAAGGCAACGACAGTCTAAAGATTATACAAACAAGTAATGTGCAAGATAATAAAAATCAAAATAAAACGGATGATAATGCAATGAAGTCAACAAAAATCAGTTTAAGTACTATTACAGAAAATATTGAAATGGAGAGTGAAGATCTAAACGTGTGTGTATCAAAAACAAACTATATTGGTGCCGAAGAGCAGGTGGGAAAGAAAACTGATAAAGAAGGACATAAAATGACCAACGACGAAAAATTATCTCCAAAATCTAAAGAGTCTGATGTCAAAACAATTTCCTCAAGACAAGAAACTGCCAACAAAATATCCCCAAGATCTGAAGTTAAATCGTCACCCGTACGAAATTCTGCACCAATTGTGACACCCAAAAAACGTCACAGGTTAGAGGCTGACAAAGTTGCTACACATTCCAGCTTGGATCAAGTAGTTCAGTCTTTATCAAAAAAGCTGTCTGAAGATAAATCAACTAACGATAGTACTTGCAAAGATGTCAATCAGAATAATGCGAAAGAAGACATGAAAGTTGCTGAAAATTGTACTGTATCTTCAGCAAATACTGTCGCAGCAACGGCAAACACGTCTATTGATCCATTGAAAAGCATGTCAGCGCGATCTTTGTATAAAAGTTCAATACCTCCTTCACAGAAATCGGAAATTATGACAAGGAAAAAGAATAGATTAGAAGGTTTAACAAGCAATTTAGTTTCAAAAATCAATCCCAGCGCGGCGACTAAAGTCTTGGATACTTTGTTAAATAATAATATAAGAAAATCTATTGAATCTCGTATTCTTGAAAAAGAGAAAAATGTAACAGATACTAATTATAAGCATACAGACGACAAACAAAAAACAAAAGAATCTCCGCTTGTAAATAGAGCTACAGTTATTAAATCACCCGTATCAAAAGGTAAAACAATGGATACTAAAAAATCTAAATCGTCCGAAATTGTATCGGAAACAACAGTCGTTGTTAATGTAGATCACCCAACCGGGATATTTGAACCCTCTATAGACTTAGAAGATCAAATTCCCAAGTCATCAATTTGCGTTAGTAGTTTAGTAACCGACTCTAATAAAGGCAAATCTAAAACTAGGATCAGTAATGCAAATTCTTCAGATGGGCTATTGAGTCCCATTGACACTGAGTCGGATATTCCGCTGGCACTAATATCAGAGACACCAGACCCTATTATACGTCCAAAAAGGGGCGAGTCTATAGCTGCAGTGATATCTGACAAAATTCAAGAGACCGCAGGCGGTCACAATTTACGTCAACCTAAAAGAAATTTGAACACAGACAGCGATGATACAAATGATAAGAAAAAAAAGAAAACTACCAATATTATAAAAGAGAGTAAATTAGTTTTACCGACAAAAGTGATGATTCCTAAAATTCAAGCGGAAAAATTGTCCGTCAATGATCTTATTAAGAGAATGTGTTCGATACCGACAAAGAAACCGGAAACAAGTAATGCTAGCGACGCTAAAATAGCCGACGTCGCCAAAAAGAAAGCAAGAAGAAGAAAGGCTATTAATCGAACAGGTTTTCCAAGTGTCAAAAAGAAGAAGAAGAAAATTGAACCTAATGGGGCCCTAACTCTTCAATCAGATAGTCATTTCACCTCTGACACCGACAACTCCGCGTTTGAACGGGTACCAAAAGACGGCGAAGCCATGAGCAGCTTCTTACAGCGAACAACAAATAAGAAACCCGAACTCAAAGTGGTCTTGAATAAAGATGATTGTCCAAAGCAAGGCCGTTTGACTGTTGTCGCCTTAGAAAAATTGCAGGGTAAAGAAATTGTTTCAGAAAATGCCAATAAACCCGTACAGGTTTCTGAAAAGCAGGCTAACGAGAAGAGATCCACTAATTCCATACTGAGAGCACCATCGCTACAACTGAAACAAACAAAAAATGATAAGGAAGTAAAGAATCATGTAAATAAATGGGAAGTTCTAAGTGAGACTGATAGCATACCGTCTTTAACTAGCTCCCTTAGTCACAATGACCCCGAAGATAGCATACCTCTAAGTTTACTAAATTTGAAAAATCAAAAAACGGTCAGTCGATTAGACAACTTGGAAAGATTGAAAAGAAAAACCCGAGCTATGTCACCTTCGAAGGAGATAGAAGAAATATTTTCAAAGAGAAAAATTGTAGAGAAAGTCACCAAAACGGGTCTTAGACCAAAATCAAGTTTGGCCATATTATATCCTAGCGAACGACGGTTAACGAGAAGTTCAGATAATACATTTGAAGATGGAAGACTCAAGCCCAAAAGAGATGCTAAAAAGACTGTAACAGAAATTAATTTCGAGAAATCCGAGAAGCCCGCAAGCGTGACCACTAGAAGAAAGTCTAGGATGAGTCAAGTTACGAAAAAACCACCCGAAGTTCATTCAAGTTCCCGGGAAAGTTCGATAGATACCGTCGTCAGTCGCAAAACAATATCGAAGTCTCGCGAGCCCTCCATTGACACACTACAAGACCATGACGAAAACGAACCCTTGCCTTTGAATGAAAAAGAAATAGATTTCGAAAAAAGTATAGATGTGTTATCAAAAAGCATAATTTGCAAGAAACGAGTTGCGTGCTCACGAGATGATAGTCCCTCGAATAGCGTGGACAACAGGGATAAACCGATCATCGTATCGAAGAGAAATCCTCGATTAAGAAAAAAGTTTTTGGTGGCTGGACTTTTCTCCGATTATTACAAAGAGGAGTAAGTATTCTGGATTCATTCCGTGTAATATTTTAATACGACGTATTGTTATAACAATCTATGTATTGTTGTAGTCCGAAGCCCGATGGCAAAGGCAAGAACGTGGTGACGCAGACGGAGTACCCGCCGGGGCTGCTGGCGCCGCCGCCGTACTGCGAGCGCTGGGTGCGGCGCCGCCAGCAGCACTTCGCGCTGCCCTACGACATCTGGTGGCAGCAGCACTACAACCAACCTGTGCCTTCCTGGAATTACAAAAAGATACGCACAAGTATGTATATTAGAACTTACATACTTGTTCACTTGTAACTTCTCTGTCTCGTACCTGAGGGCAGAGAGTACATGAGTAAAATAACTCGTTCTAACATATTTGTATAATATATTGTGTGGTACAGACGTGTACTACGATGTGAAGCCGTCAGCGGAGGAGTGCGAGAGCGTGGCCTGCAGCTGCGCGCCCGCCTCCGGCTGCAACGAGGACTGCATCAACCGCCTCGTCTACTCCGAGTGCTCGCCGCAGCTCTGCCCCGCCGGGTAACGCACACAACACACAAATAATACTGTTCATTATCTATCATATCTAACCGGAGGCACTCGGTACTTGTAAATCCGATCTTTGGAAACTTACGCCTTCGAAACTGACATTTAAAATTATATATCCTCGTGTCCTTGTATTGACATTTTACAAAAATATAATAAGCTACATCTTTTGTTATAAAATAAACTAAATAAAAGTAATAAACTAAATAGTGTTGATTGTGTGAAAAATGTCTCAAGTAAAGTGTAAACTATGCTTACACTATATATTTTTTTAATATCTTTGCTTAGAAACTATCGAAACCCTTACAAGAATTTTCACACACGGCGTATTGTAATAGCAACACAACTAATATTGCAGTGATAAATGCAAGAACCAGCGCATCCAGCGTCACGAGTGGGCGTCAGGTCTGGAGAAGTTCATGACGGAGAACAAGGGGTGGGGCGTGCGCACCAAGCACTCCATCACCGCCGGAGACTTCATACTGGAGTACGTCGGCGAGGTCGTCTCCGATAAGGAGTTCAAGGTAAACAATATCACTAATACATTACTAGAAACTGCTAGTTAATTTACATGTGAATTTATATTGTGTATTAGGTTTTAATTTATTTACACTGTAGTTTGGTGTAGATATTGTCAGCCTAAATCTATACTTCTATACTAATATAAATTGGATAGATTTTTATATGTATTGTATTGTATTTTTATAATGCACTTTTGTATGTATTGTAACTCTAAAACGACTGGGTCAATTTCGAAAAGTCTTTCACCATTAAAAAGTTACGTTATCAGTGAGCGACATATAACATAGGCTGTTTTTATTATTATTATTATTTTAATTTCACGCGGGTGAAGTCGCAAGTAAAAGCTAGTCTCTACTACCATAAATGACGATTAGCTCCTATTAGCTCAGACGCTTTTTAGCGCGTTAAAAAGCGTTTAATAAAACAAATGCATTTCCATGTGTCTTCATATAGCAATGGTTTTTTATCGTGCAGTGTTGATTTTAAAACACGTGAAGGTGAATATTATAATCGGCCGTGTGTTGAGGGTTTATTGTCCATTGAAGATTCTGGAATGTTATTGTATGCGTTAGTATGTGTGTCGCAGGAGCGCATGGCGACGCGGTACGCGCGCGACACGCACCACTACTGCCTGCACCTGGACGGCGGGCTGGTGATCGACGGACACCGCATGGGCGGCGACGGCCGCTTCGTCAACCACTCCTGCAGGCCCAACTGCGAGATGCAGAAGTGGACTGCCAACGGTATGCCGACATTGACATCTTTACGACATTGGATCTAAATAATCTGTCACTTGCCATTAAGTGATAACCCCTTATTGTGTAAGACAACTTTTAGAGCTCTAAAAGGATAGTAAATAGCAATATTTCATAATTTTTTCTTATTAAAATATGAAATAGTCAATAGTTTACGTAAGAAATTTAATTTGTTTTGTAGTTTTTTTCCTATTTTATTAATTTATATTTGATATTCTGTGCAGGCACATTTCGAATGGCGCTGTTCGCGTTGCGGGACATCGAGCCCGGAGAAGAACTTACGTACGACTACAACTTCTCATTGTTTAATCCCGCTGTTGGTCAGGTAATTTTACAATTGAACATTTACATATATAAAGAGCAAAAAGTTTAAATCGTAAATGAATAGTTACAGCTTGTAGTCTCATAAAAATAAATGCTTTTCAGCCGTGTAAGTGCGATTCGGAGGATTGTCGCGGCGTTATCGGCGGCAAGTCTCAGAGGATCACG